GGCCCCCGCTCTGTCACGTAGGCGTAGGGAAACCTCAGCACCCAGAGTCCATCAGAGGGAAGGGTGATTTCCTGCTTCTCGGGGTAAAATATAGGACAGGGTGGTGGTCCTGGCTGAACCTAAAGGCAAAAGAAAACATGAGCAGGCAATCAAACATCATTACTACCTTATAAAGTAATAAAATGCAAATGGAGTTTTTTCAAATGAGTATTAAAAGAAAAATGGAAGAAATGGTGAATTCAGAAAACCAACATTTTTTCACCTCTTAAATTAAAATTGTAACTAATAGTAATTGAGCAATGAGTCACTGCCTTTCTCCATGACATTTAAAATGACAAAGTCATTCTTGAAAGGTCATTGTTAGCTGCTTTTTTTTTTTTAATAAAAGCCATTATTACCGCAGGGAATGCCAATAACGCATCCTCCATAAATTATTTTTGCAAAAAATATTTGTACTTTATAGAAAATATAAATTTGTACAAAGTACAAATACTTTTTACTTTGTATGAAGTATAAATTTGGCACCTTGAAGTTTAAGAAATCCCAAGTGCTTATGTAACATACTTTTGGAAACTACTGTCTTGGCTGAAGTTGCTTTGAGTTGGAGTTTCTTGACACCCTTGTGAATCAATGTTTCCCCAACCGCCCTTGTCTCTGCTGTTCCCAGATTCCCTCCTGCACTTCCCACCTGAGGGGTCAAGGTGATCTGCAGAGGAGCATCAGGAACCACCACGAAGAGCCTCATGAACTGGGCGTAGTGGGGCTTGAGGCCGCGTCCCTGCGTGGAGGACAGGATGTAGAGGGGCATGTCGGAGTTGAGGGCTTTCAGGGCCGACTCCTTGGGCCCCCCTCCCATCACCTTCATCACCTTGTCAGGCCCCGAGCACATGAACCTCCTGCCACGTGCATCTTCATATTCAAAGCCCACGAAAGCCCGAGCGATGTCGTCCCTGCGCCGGCCTCTTCCCATCACCACGGCGCTCCTTTTCCCAGGGACTGCCTTGTTGGGGGCAGGCCAGGAATTGGTGTCCAAGTCTCCTTCATCTTCAGTTCTCGTCCTGATGACAATGTCCCAAGGCATTAAATAGTTTGTTCCTGGGATAAAGCCCTGTTGATCTAAGCCTGTGTGGAAGTTGTAAGCCTTAGCAGGGCCCAGCTTGACCAGTGACCAGCTGGAGAATTTGGGCAGAAGGCCTTTGGGGCAGTTGGAATGGAGCATCCCGGGGAGGTACTCGACAGTGGACGCCTGGCGATCCACCAGGCTCGGCCTCTTCTCGCCCTTGGAGTCCCCGCTCTGCCCGTGGCTCTCTGCATTGTCCCCTCCACCCTGGCCATCGGGTGGGTAAGTGCCCAGGCTGCCTGTGGACTGGCCCAGGCTCAGGGCTAAGCTCAGGCCTGTGCTCTCTCCCTGAGTCTGAGGTTCTTTCTCTTTGAGTTTCTCGATCTCGCCTTCCGGAGGCGCGGGCGACGCCTCGTCCCGAGCAGGCGCCGGGTCAGGTGTGCTTGGCTGAAATATGGGGAAGTTGATGTGCTCCAGTTTTCCACAGCACTTCTCTTCCAGCAGCTGTGAGAAAGAGAAGGTGGTTTAGTAGCCACCCTTAGATGAGGAAGCTCAGAGCCACAACATTCAGCAGCTATAATTAAGATTCAAGAGGTTTGCACCATATCAGAACCAAAGCAGCAATGGGAACACGGCCCACAGACCTGATTATTTAAAATTCACATGGACCAACACATTCAAAGTGTAAACAGGTGCATTAACTGGTGCTCCTGTGTGTGTGGTAAAGACTGGAACTGCCAGCCTGGTACAGCCCATTTCTGCTCCCAGAAATGTCTCCCCCAAGCAAAACCTTGGTAAGGTTAAGGAGAAAGTTGTGGTCACTTCAGAATACAGACTCTGAGGATGAAACGAAAGCACTGCTTGAAGCACTAAGAGACCTAAGAGTTACCTGGTAAAAGTCATAATTAGCTGCTTTGATATCAAAGGGGTCCTCCCGAGGAGCTTGTTTCCTTCCACAGTTACAGGCACCAGTGGAACGAGCCCGGCTGTTGTGGTACAGAATTGGAGGATTTCTGTCTGCTTCTGGCTTTTCCCCTAAAAGCAAAATCAATCAAACCTTGGGCAACTTGCTCACCATTCAAAACTTTCTTTATTCCCTTCATCCATTGCTCCCTCCCTGCTATACACAAATAGAAAATGTTTGTCAAGCAACTCCTCCCTTTCCCACTTTTAATAATACAAAGTTCCAGGGGAGGTTATACCACTAAACCAAATCTTATTTGTTTTTACAACCTCTTCCTGAAGGCTCAAAGTTCTTCTGCCTGCAATAAACTTGCAGAAGTCAGTTTTGACTCCCAGATCAACCAGGTTATTTAAAACAAAGGGGGATGCTTATGCTTTTTAGAGAATTTTGTTCTTACACTCCTCTCATTAGAAGTACTCCAGTGTAATTGCTTTTAGCTAGTAAGACAATATTTAAAACAAAGGGGGATGCTTATGCTTTTTAAAGAACTTTGTTTTTACACTCTTCTCATTAGAAGTCCTCCAGTGTTAATTACTTTTAGCTAGTAGGACAGAATCAGAGTTACCACTAAAATCAGAAAATCAGAGTAGGAGTTACTACTAACAGTGGATTGGCTCCTAAACTCTATATAAAGGAAACCTGCAGAGCAGCTCAGCTATGATCCCACTGTAGAGATGATCACAGAATCATTTGGGGTGGAAAAGACTTCTGAGATCATCGAGTCCAACCTTTGCCTGGTCATCACCTTGTCCAGTCCTTGAACACCGTCCTTTAAAGCTGCAAACTTTCACCTCCCATATTTCAGAGCCGGTACTTTCAGCCTAAGCATTTGAAAGCACACTAAACCATGAAACCAAAGCACAAGCGAGCATCTTTACCTGCTTTGGGGAGCAGATGGAACTTGTGCACGCAGTGCTGGTCGGTCAAGCTCCGCTCCTCGCAGAGCTGGTGCCCGTTGCTCCAGAACTTGTAGCAGTCCTCGTTGAGCTGCATGGCGTATTTGTGGAAGGCTGGGCCCCGGGCGTGCTGGCTGTACACGCGCAGGGCCTGGGCCAGCTGGTTCTTGTGCACTGTCATGGTGTAATTGTGGGGCAGGTTGGACTGGTAGGCGCTGTGGGCCATGGGCAGAGCCTTCTGGCAACGGTTTTCAGAGAACTTGGTGTCTATGTCTAAGTAGCCTTCCAAAACTTTGATGCTGCTCATGATTTTGGAGCTCAGCTCGCCGCAGGTCGGGTCATCGTCTTTGCCTTCGATGGTCACTTCATAGAGTTTAAGAGCAGCTGCCACCCACTTCTGGTAGGTAGGGAGCTCAAAGTGAGAGGGCTGCGGGTTCCTCCCCACGCTGTCTTCAAAGCCCTTCTTGCTGAGCACCAGCTCCACGTGCTGCCACAAGAACTCCTTGAGGGTGCAGTCCACGAGCTGCCCGGAGGAGCTGGAGCTGGAGCTGCTACTCTCCGCGTGGAAGGAGAGCTGCTGCCGGCCGTGCCTCATCATCTGATACCTCCTGGGTCCCGACAGGGTGGGAGCCAGCAGCGAGTCAGTCTCTCTCATGGTGCAGTTGCTCCTGAGCTGGTCGAGAAGCATGGCCACAGGGTCGTCTCCCTCCTGGGGCCCACCAGCCACGATGTACACGAAAGCCTGGTTGGCGGGCACGGTGAACAGGCAGTTGATGCTCTGGTTGGTCAGCACGCGGCTCTTGCGGAAGATGCGGTAGATCTGATCCTCCAGAGCGTGCTGCAGCCTCCTCTTGGGGGAATGCTTCTTGGGGGGTGGCTTTTCCAGGTGACCACAGGGATCCTGACCCCTGCTTGGCAGCGGATCCACCTTCAGAGCCCCGTTGAGCTGGAAGAGGAAGAGGAGGCGTGGAGGGCATGGCCTGCAGTTGAGCTTCCACTCCTTGCCGACGGGACAATCCTTGATGGCAGCCTTCAGGGAGGGCAGCACCTTCTGCCGCAGCCCGTCCAGCGCCCTGAACACGCGGTCGTAGGTGATGTCGAAGGAGCAGGTGGGATGCACCAGCAGCAGGATGTGGCACACGGAGAAGAGGTAGAGGAGGCTCAGGCAGTGCAGCTTCTCCTGGTGCTTCCAGAACTCGTGAGCCTCGGCGTGGGGCAGCGGGGCAGGGCCTCCGGAGGGGTGGCCGGGCCCGGCCTCTCTGTTCTCGGCCGCCGCCAGGTCCCCGCAGGCGCGCAGCAGCTGCGGCGTGTCGCAGATGGAGGTGAGCACCAGGTACAGCACGCGGCTCTCCTGGCTGTAGTACGCCTGCAGATGGTTGTAATCCTTGGTGGCCGGATCCCCCTCCTGCCCCGCGGCGCCATCCGCCAGCTCGGGATCCTCCTCCGGGAAGAGCGGGAACACCTGCCGGTCGCACACGGTGCTCACCAGGGCCTCCTTCTCGGAGCAGAGCTGCAGCGCGGTTTTGCCGAAGATGCCCACCACGCACACCTCCTCCTCGCCGCCCGCCGCGCCGCCCGCCTCGGCCGCCAGCAGCAGCTCCCGCAGGCTCATGGGCCCCACGGCCGTGCCCATGGCCCCGGGCGGCGCGGCCCCGGGCAGCGGCATCTCCCGGCGGAAGCGGCGGAGCCCCGGCCGCGGCCCCGCGCATGAGCGGCCCCGCCCCGGAGGGCGCGGACACGGCCCGGGGCGGGCAGAGCAGCGCCGGAGCTGACAGCACCGGGAGTGACAGCACAGCGAGCACCGCTGTGCCATCGCTACCGACGGTCCGGGCTGCGCGGCCCTGAGCGCCCCCACGGACCGTGCCCCGATGCCGGGCAGGGCTGTGCCTCCGCTCTGCCCGGTCCTGAGCTGAGCCCTGAGCTGAGCCGCGGGACGGGCACAAGCTCTGCCCATCCCCAGGACCGTGTGCCACCGCTCTGCCCGGTCCTGAGCTGAGCCGCGGGACACGCACAACAAGCTCTGCCCATCCCCTAGACCGTTCTTGCAAGGAGATTTTGAGTTCCTCGCCTTTAATCGCGATCAGTGATACACAGTGCCTCTGACATTTGTAGCCACAGACTCGAACTGTTTGTTGAAGCATGCAGCTTTCCACTTTAATAACGTTAGCGCGTTCCACTGTTGTTTTTCTTTGAAACTGTACAAATACCGTCAAGATATCTTTGTTTAAAAAATACATAAGAATACTGAATTTCAGCAAACACGTATTTGTATGACAAGCAGCACCAGTGCTAGAAGCGTAACAGTCCCTGCTTCAGCAGCACCCACGTGTCAAAAGACTTGGGAAATTTCCTATTTTTTTCCATTATGAATGAAGATGCAACCAAATTGAGAGACATTAGAGAGGGATAAAAAGCACAATCTGCTTTACAGGGTCTCATAATGCCCCCTTTTCCTGTGCATTGCATTTACTTACAAATACATGTGCCTGAGTGTGATAAAAATGGGATTCAAGTGGCTTCCTGAGCACAAATGGAGAATTGTTCCATAAACCTGCTTTCCTTTTTACTTTTCATCAAAGCTGTTTGCAGCACTCAGCTGTGCAGGCGAGGGACTCTTGGGGTGAGCCATCTGTCAAAAGAAGGGAAGGGTCAGAACTTGGATATCTGAGCTCATTATCACTGAGATAAAACAGTGCAATTCTTAGCTGGCACCTTAAAACAGACACAACAAATCAGTAAAATAAAAGATGCCACTAACCCTCCCATTTTGTCCTTCTGCAAAGTGGAACTATGACTTTGAAAGTTGCACTGAGGCACCAAAAAAAGCAATTTTTCTTCTTGGGATTGTCAAATAACCTGCCAGAACGGCATGTCCATTCTGCAGTGCCTTTAGATCAGTAGGGAATTCTGTGATTTTAAAGCCACTTTATGATTCAAAGAAGAGGGACAGAGTGACTTGCCTGAAATTTGCGCCGTAGTGCCCGTGTCATTATTGGGGTCAGCCCAGAGCCACATTCAGTGTTTTCCTTACTATTCAGAGGAGTGCCACCAGGACTTCTGAAAGGGCAATTATGATTAGTTTGATTTGTTCTATAGTTTTTCTAGATTAAAAAACAGAATGAAAGAGAATATAAGGAACAGACCTTTGTATATCGACTTTCTTCAGATGCTTCCGAAGATCAATCTGATTTTTAGGGGAGGTACTATAAGAAAAAAAAGAAATTGATACAATAAAATGTTTCCCACTCAGTAAAAAACATTAATCACTGTTTAAAACAGAAAAATCTAGTATCTAATCAAGGAAGAAAGCATCTTACATTAAAGATTTTGTAGCATGAGGTGGTGGCTTGGATTTAGGTCTCAGACTAACGCTCTGTAGATCTGTGACTGTAATTAATGCCCTGCGTGGCTTCACTGGTGATTGTTCCTACAGCAAGGAAAGAAATGTTACCCCAAATAAAACTTCAGAAGGTCTCACTACCCTGAAATCCATTTAATATTTAATAAAGCTGAAATACTTTTGTGGTTTATGGTTTTTATGCTTTAAAAAAATTATTAAGATTTGAATGTGCCTTGGATAAAAATATATTTATTTAGGAAAACAATAACAAAAAAAAAAGAAAAACCAACCCAAAAAAACCCCAAAACCACGAAACAAGAGGGTTTTGTCTGCAAACAAAGTTTCAGCTGGCTAAAAGGAATTCCAAAACTCTATTGATAACACACAAAGCTGTATGAAAACTCCATGGCCTTAATGTAAAATGAGAGCTCTCTGAGTGCCAGGTGAGATTGGAGTTTGTCACTTTGTCTTTCTTCCCTTCCAAAGCCCAGGTACAGAATTAGAATGCTCACTTGAAACTGATCACTGGGTGTTTGGATGAGAATCAATTTATCAAGAAAAGAGCAGGAAACAGCACTTCCAGGGTGGATTTTCCCTTGATTCATCCTGCAGTTTACCTTGTCCATTCTCAGGCTGCTGCTTGTTTTCTTCAGTTTAACATTCAGGAGGTCTTTGAGGGTGATGTGCACGGGCCCATCCTTTTTCACTGGTGGTGCCTGAAAGCAAAGGGGTGTGGGAGGGAAATCAGGAAGGGAAAGTGACTGAGCACTCACAGAGAGTGACGTGCTGAGGAATCCACATCCAAAAGGAACTCAGGGGATAAAAAATAGAGGAACTTTCTGATTCCCTACCAATTTGGAGGCTGTGCCCCGTTGGAGGGGGAGAGGTGCTGGAGGCAGCTTTGGCGGAGGCAGCGGCGGCGGAGGAGGAGGAGGAGGAAGAGGAGGAGGAGGGGGGATGGACACAGGCACAGGTGCTGAGGGTGGAGGATCCATCTGTGTCCCCACAGGAGCACCCAGGACTGGCTTGTGACACCTTTGGCAAAGGGAACTTTCTGGGGACAAAGCTGCTGCTCCGTTCATCTGAAAGCGACAGAAATAAATAAATAAAGAGAATATCAAATCCACCAGCAGAGGCAGGTGGGACTTTAGAGAAGAAAGGAGCTGCCTAAGGTTGAGCTGTAAGGATATAAACCCTCCTGCTGTGAGGGAGCAGCTCTGAGTGCAGAGAATGCCCCTGAGGAGCTGCTCAGACCTCAGGGACCTGCGCTGAGCACAATGCCTCATCCTCACCCAGGCCAATGCCACCCTGCCCTGGACTGACACTGACCTGGAGGGCTCCTTGGAGCTTGGAAAATTCCCTTTCCAGCTTCTCCAGCTTCTCCCTGAATGCATTTAGCTCCCTTAAGTAGATTTGTGATGGAAATATGGTGTCTTTAACCACCTGAAAGCTCTAAGCATAAAAAGAAAGCGGATTAGGTGTATTTGTGTGTTGATTTTCTTCAGATATTTCTGAGGATCAATCTGATCCAAAAGACATTGGTACAGTAAAATAATTCCCACTCAGTACACAGCATTAATCCCTGTTTAAAACAGAAAAATCTGATATCAAAGAAAGGATCTACCTGTGCAACCCTGCTCTGGCACCACCAGTACAGAAATGCTGCTGCTGTTGTCAAGGGTCTGACCACACTTTTTACACTGGGCAAGGCTAAAGGCCACTGGGAGCACCTTGGGGCTGGTGAGGAGTTCAGAGGGAGATGAGCTGGTGACCTGCAACAGAACAAGGCCAGAATTTTATTTATCATCTCAGCCTTTTAAAAAGTTAACTGTGACCAATCATGTAGAAATCACAAGCAGGTGACAACAGAGCAAATGTGTTCACAGGAAGCTGGAAAGGCCAAGATACATTTCAATTAAGGATGGGGGAAATCCTATTGGAAATATTATTTTATTCAAATTGCTTTTCTTGGTTACTAATCATAGAAACATGAATAGGTGGAAAAGATCTCCAAGGTCACACCAAAAGACACCATGGAGTGCCACGTACTTGGCACAAATCTTTGCCTCTTTTCCACGAGCCTTTGGGAGCAAATAGCAAACCCAGGGATGGAGTGAGAAAGCAAAAATTCAAGCAGAGCCTCTTACCGTGGAGAGGCACAAACTGAGCCCTGGGGGCTTGCAGCATTTCTCTTCTTTTCCCGTTGAAATTTTGCTCGGGCTCTTCGTTTTCGTTTGCATTTCTTATACCTTGCCATTACTGGGGAAAAAGACACATTGCAAATGGATGTAGAGAGATAAAGCAAATTATACATTTGCAGCACAGGCTGCACCTCAGAAATCCAGTCAGAGGTTACTCACAGCTGCCTTGGTGGGATTATCATGGACCAGGGATTGAAAATACATCCTTAATTTCAAATGATCCATGGGGATGTGTTTATGCACAGAAAGCACCGTTTCATATGGGCTTATTCCTCTCCTTTTCTATTTGTATCATAGACAGCATAAATTGTTATTGTAAATATAATAAAAAAATGAAATAGTTAAATAAACACATATGAAAAACATATTATAAATAAGTATAAACAAGAAAGTAATTAGAAATATTAACAACTAAATAGAAACCTTGCAACTATGTAAGCACATTAAAATATGTAATATTAATAGGTAAGCACAACAAAAATAAACGGATGTTCAGTTTTTCGTTACGCTGACGTGCCAAGTACTGAATTTGGGGGAAACGGTGACAAAAAACACGGAGAAGCCACGGAAGGATGCCAGGGGCGGCCCGGGCCGGTCCCTCACCGGTGACCGGTGACACCCCAGCCCCGCTCACCGGGACCCCGCACCGAGAGCGGGGATCTCTCTCTCTCACACACATGCACACACCTGTGGGGTGTCCCGGGGGTGTCCCGGGGCCGCCCCGTCCCCGGGCCGCGCTCCGCGCCCGCCGCCGCCGCCGATTCAAACCGCTCCCCGCGCCGCGCCCAGCCAATGGCAGCGCCGCTCTCTGCCGGCCCCCCCACGCGCCGCATGTAAGCCGCGCGCTGATTGGCTGCCGAGCCGAGGCGCGCCCGCGCGCCGCGCGCCCCGCCCCGGCCAATCACGGCCGGAGCCCACTCCGGGCCAATGGGCTCGGCCGTACCTCGGAGCGGGTTTACATTCTCCGCGGGCCAATGGCGAGCGCGCCCCGCGAGCCGCCAGCCAATGGGAGGCGCGCGGCGAGTGACAGCTGGCCAATGGGCGCCGCCGACTCTCCCGTGCCGCGGCGCGGGGGGTGGGGATCTCCCCGCCGCCGCCTGAGGAATGTCAACTATTCAACATGGAGACGGCGGTTACCAAGCTCGAGACCCTGGTGAGGGCGGGCGGCGGCCGCGCTGAGGGGCGGCCGCGCCGCGGGCCCGCGGCGCGACGGAAGAGCGGCCGCTCAGCCGCGCCCGCGTTCCCCATCCGGGCCCTGAGCGCGGCCCGCGCCGCCCTCGACGGGGCGCCCGCCGGCCGCGTCCGGGTCAGGCGGGTTCGGCCGGGCCGGTCCATTCCATCCACCCCCCCCACCCTCGAGGGGCGGGGCTTGCGCCGCTCCATTCACCCCTCGGCGCGGGGCAGGGCGCGGCCATTCCCGCGCACCTTTAGGGGGGGGCGCGGTGGGGGTGGGCGCGCTCATTGCCCGCCTCGCAGGGGGGACGCGGCCGTGCCGGGCCGCTCCATGTCCCCGCGGCGGGAGGGGGGGAGCTCGCGGACTAGTCCATTTTTTCCTCAGAGAGGGGAGCGCTCACCTGGACTACACCATTTTGGCTGCGGGGGGAGGGGGGGCTGGGCTGGTCCATTGGCGCGCGCGCGCGGGGGGAGCGGGGCGATGGCCCCTCAGCCCTCTCCCGCCGAGCCCCAAACCGCGGAGTTTTTGCGGCTTTTCTCTCGTTTCGCTGCCCTGAGGCGGCCCCTGAGGCACCACGGGGCTGGAGCGATGGCCTCTCTGCCAGCCCCGCTCCTGAAAAGTGGAAAAAAGGCAGAAGTGAAGCTCTCCCAGGGAGCTGTGGCTGGGTTTCCTCACGGTGGAGGGCTCTGGGGAGCTGTGCCCGCCCAGCCGAGTTCCCTGTGCCTCAGACCTTCATCTTCCTCATCCCCCTGCCTTCATCTCCCATCAGTCCCTCAGACCCTCACCTTCCTCATCCCTCAAACCTTCACCTTCCTCATCCCTCAAACCTTCACCTTCCTCATCCCTCAAACCTTCACCTTCCTCATCCCTCAAACCTTCACCTTCCTCATCCCTCAAACCTTCACCTTCCTCATCCCCCTGCCTTCATCTTCCATCAGTCCCTCAGACCCTCAGCTTCCTCATCCCTCAGACCTTCACCTTCCTCATCCCTCAAACCTTCACCTTCCTCATCCCCCTGCCTTCATCTTCCATCAATCCCTCAAACCTTCATCTTCCTTCCACACAGTTTTTCTCCCATTTTTGCCCACAGTGTAAGCTTGATCTCCCCATGTCTACTATTCTGTATTTTTTTTCTGAAGCCCGGTTTAATTTAGAAATATGTTTAGGTTGAATGTTTAATTAATTTATTTATTGCCATGGTTGATTTCTGTGTTTTATTGAAAGTCATGCTTTCAAGTGGTTCTCATTTTAGGACGTGTGAACAGAGAGGTATTTTTGCCCCCCTTTCAGCTAGCAGGGTTTTTATTCTGGAAATCAGAATAATCTCACATTTCACAGCTTTGTGTCTCTTGCCTTCCCTTCTGCTTTGTTGTTTCCCCGTCCTGGATTTCCTGTGAAGGCAGCTCTCTCCACAGAAGTGTGATAAAATAACTCTTCTTATTTCCCTGGAGCTTTTGACATGAATTTCATGGAAAGCTTCCTTTTGCTCTCATGGAAGCAGGGATAAAGTAATTAGTGGGAGCTTGAAGAGAACAATGGGCGTGAAAATAATAAAACCAATCAGGTCATCAATGGTTCTTTGTGACAGGGGTGTTGGATTAATTATGGAAAAGATCCTAAAGCTTCATTCAGAGCAGTCCAGTTCATTCCTGTCGGTTTTTTGGGATCCTGCACCTCCTCTGGCCCCGAGTGGTGTCTGTCCAGTGCCCTTTTTATGTTGTACTACTGGTGATGATGCACAAAAAGCAGTGCAATGTTAAAAGGGCATTGGCCAGCAATACAATCTGCACTATTCTCTATTCTTTTTAATAATATACAAGCCCAAGATCTGTCTGAGACCACAAAACAGCGGTAAAATGAGATTGCCACTGGTTTATTTTATTTTTTTTTAAGGAGGAACATTGGCCATTTAATGACAAATGCCATCATCTCTGTCTCAGGTGACTCAGCTCTGTGTACATCCCCAAAAATCCCCTCTCTCCACTCCATTCCCAGGTTTTTTTGGGTGTTTTTTAAAAAAATCTCAGCAGTTTCCAGCCCTGGGAGTTCTCCAGCTCTCAGCATGAAGTTACTGTTGTGTTTAGAGATCCCCATCACCACTGAGATTTGTGGAGCACACCCCACTGGTAAAGGAGTGTTAAAGTGCATTTTGCTGTGATTCAGCACTGGAAATTATAAGAAATAAACTCTGCTGTCTGGAAGATATTCCCTGTAATGCAGTTTAAGAACATCTGTCTGATGGCACTTTGGAATCTTAGCTTGCCGCGAGGCAAATCCAAGCAATAAATGCACTTGGAAATGAAATTTCCAGTTTAGGAAGCACCAAACAGTTTGAAATTGAATTTCTGGCAGATCTGTTGAGCGTTTTGTTGGGTGCTTGGGGTTTTTTCCCCCCTCATGATCAGTGGAATGGCAGATTCTGACTAATAAAAGCAATAATAATGTGAATTTTTGTGTGTGTGCCTGTTAGGACTTGGTGAGCTTTAACCTTATGCAGCTCTTCACCATCCACAGAACCCTCTGGCTGAGCTGATTTGGTTTTTTCCCCTTTTTTGGTGAGTGTGTGATTGATTGTTGCCCAGAATTGTTGCTGCTAACGAGTGCTCTGACTTTATTGCACTACTGTGCTATACAGAGAGCAGTGCAATAGTATTGTCAAAGCATCTGAAAGCAGAGCCCTCAGCACTGGCCTCACTCACTTTCTAACACTTTCTTCTAAACCTGTGAGTAAATTACAAATTTACACATCAAACCCTGCATTTTCTGTGTGGTTTATTGTAAAATAATCATCCTACAAATGCTTCTGACCTGGGATGTTAAAGGGGGGGTTTTGCAGGTGGATGTTTCCTGAAATGCAGCAAGAAATTCATATTTACAGCAATAAAAGCAGTCATAATGAGCTGTGTTAATGTCTTCACAAAGCTTAAAATTCTGGCCACATTTAGCTTCACATCCAGTTTTTAATGTCCTGAATCACAGTATGTTAGTTAGCTCCTTATGGAAATCCTAAATTGTCAGTATTGAATATTTAATGGATCATTTTGAAAGCAGTTTTTGTTTTCTGCTTTCCCAAAAACTGATCAAGTGGATCAGTTGTTTGCTTTTCTCCAGAAAAGCAAAAAAAATGAAAAAAGGGAAAATCAAAAAATGTTCTTTTTGAGGTGCCTGCTGTGGAAAGGAAAACCTACAAATATTTCTTAGTGGAAGAGAACAGAAACCATTGAGCAGTCAGGGAAGAAATCCCCTGTGAGCTCTTTAAAAATGTGCAGTGTGCTGAGGAAGTATTTTATTCTTGGCTTTTGTCCTGGCTGCTTTCTGGGGCAGGTGTGGGAAGGATTTTTGCTGGGCAGATGGTGAGTTATGGCAGCACTGGGTGAAAGCTTTCCCCCTGATTTATAGATGCTCGAGCTCTTCACTGCATTTATTTTCCTTTTCTCAAGCTATTATTTGAAAATGTGCTGGAGGTGTGTGGAACATCATCCATCACCCCCTCAGAAAGAGGCTTTTATTGGAGAGAGTCCTGGATCTAATCCTGCTCCTTCAGGCTGACTTTCCAGACTCCCAAAGGCATTAATGGCCATTCCTTAAGGCTGATGTCCAAAACATAAATATTGGAATCCCTGCCTGACCACAGACTGTGGGTATTTATTCCTTTATAACAAATACAGCCTTTAATCCTTAAAAAAATTAAATTGGAATGGTCACTTTGGGGTTAATCTCAAAAGAAACAGTGAAAAACAAGGAAGTCAAAACCATTTTACCATTTTTAACTTGCTTTCATCATTGTCTCTTCTGTGACTGTAAAATCACTGAATTATTATGTCAAAGAGTTAATGAGTTGCTTGGGAGCTGGGAAAACTGCCTTTCCTGAAAGTGGAAGTCTTTAACAGATATTAAAATTGCAGACTAAAATTAATTAAGTAGTAATGCTATCAGCAGACTGTTTTACAAGGCAATTAGACAATTCTCTGGTGGCTTATTTATCCCAAGGAAAGAAAAGTGATGTCATCCATTTTATGAGCTGTTAGCCAGTCTGGTTTGTTAGGGAATAATAAAATGTATTGTGGACATTAAAACCATCTGAAGGAACACATCCCTAATGTGATTATTAATAAAAGCTCTGATGATACTCTTGGATCCTGAATTTATTCATAATCTCCTCTGTGTAAATAACTGAGTAAGTTTTGCTAACACAACTCTTTATATTTGAAAAAAATTAAATTTGAAAACTTTTTATGGTCTCTGAGCTTTTCAAAGTGAGGCAGCTGCCTCCTGCTTTCCTGAAACACAGGTTGGGGTTTGTCTGCAATTTTTGGGTTTTAATATACTGTGCTGACCTTAAACATTTTAGTTCCAGAAAGCAGAATCTGATCTGGATTATATTCAGCGCAGAGTGGAGTTTGAAATAATGAAAAGCCTTCCTGATGATACAGCAGAGGTAGTATTTGCAGATGAAATTCAATTTGATTGCATGAAGTTGGTAATAAATGGGTATTTTTCTTTAAACCTGAAATAATGTATGTGGGTGTTCTTTCAACTACTCAGGCTGCTACTACTACTACTACTCCTATTATTATTATTATTATTATTTCTTCCTGTATCATCTATCAAGATAAGTGGCCTCAAACCAAACTCCTTTGGTTTCTTGGGCTAGTGAAATTCTCCCATGTTCTGCTCTGAGAAATCAGTGGTGTTAGCAGCTAA